TGGAATACACCTTCTGTATCTGACATATAATTTGTGAATATTTCCACTCAGTGTGGTTTGTTTAAAAATGTTATCTTTTGGAAATCAAAATTTTTACATATTGTTGAAGTAGGATTTATTAAATTTTTTTCCATATGAACATATTTTCATTTTATTTAAGAAGTCTGTATTCAGGTTTTATACTTACTTTGTTAATTTTTTTCCCAAGTATTTTGCTCTTTTTGATGCTGTTGTGATCAGAATGATCTTAATATCATTTTTTGGACTGTTCATTGCTACCATATAAACATTTGACTTTTATTTATTTTTGTTTATTATATATTTTTGTATCATGTGCTTTAAATTCATGTATTAGTTCTAGTAGTTTTTTGGTAGATCCTTTAGGACACTTTACATATAGAATGAAGTCATCTGAGAGTTAAGACAGTTATATTACTTCCTTTTCAATATAGATGTCTTTTTTTCCCCCCTGGGTTTTGCGCTGGTTAGAACCAGTTTACTATTGAATAGAAGTGATAAGAACAGACATGCCGGCCTTGTTTCTGATCTTGGGGGAAATCAATCAGTTTTTCATCATGAAGTGTGATGTTAACTGTTGTCGCAGATGTCCTCTTCCAGTTGAAGAAATTCCTCTATATTCATAGTTTGTCTAGAGTTTTTATTGGGACCTTTTTGCTTTTTCCAACGTAGGTGTTTAAAGCTATGAATTTTGTCCTACACACTGCGTTAGTTTTATTCCATAAAATTTTACATGTGTTTTCAGTTTCATTCAGTTATTGAAAAGGTCCAGTTTCCTTCGTAATATCTATAGTCTATTCTTTATTTAGAGTTTGTCTTGGAAGGCAGCTCTGCATGAGACTGTGTCCCTGCACATTTTCTGAGCAGAGGAACTGACTGCTTTTATTCTGGCTGATCTTTAAAAGATGTTTATATCACGATATAAAGGATGTTTATATCAGAAGGTAGAGATATTCTCTTCCTCCCAGATGGTGGGCAGTCACGCCTGCTGCCCTCATGAAAGATGCATGGTTCTTAGCCTCAGGGCTCCTCTCCTGGTGTCCATGTGCATGGGCCACCTGGCCTCCCTTGTGTTGTGATTTGGGAACTGAGCCTTGGCAAACTGGCCCCCAAATAATGATACTCTGGCTACTACTATTGCTTTAAGGAAAAAAAAAAGTCCTGTAGCTCTGGCCTAGGAGTTTCATGTGTTCTCCCAGCATCCAGAAATCTCTGGCCGGTTGAAACTTGAGCTTGTCGGTAGGGTAAAATGTTAGAATCATCAGTTTTAACATTCCATTATTTTATTTCCCAATGTTGGAATTTTCCAGATTTCTTCCTGTAGTTGACTTTTTAAATTTAATTCCATTTTGGTCAGAGAACATAATTAAATCATTTAAATCTTTTTAAATTCATTAAGATATTTTTATGGTTGGGGCACATGGGTGGCTCAGTGGTTTAAGCCTCTGCCTTTAGCTCAGGTCATGGTCTCAAGGTCCTGGGATTGAGCCCCGCATCGGGCTCTCCGCTCGGCGGGGAGCCTGCTTCCCCCTCTGTCTCTGCCTGCCTCTCTGCCTACTGTGACCTCTCTCTCTCTGTCAAATAAATAAATTAAAAAAAAAGATATTTTTATGGTTTAGCATATGGTCTGTCCTGGAGTTTTTTGGTTCCCCCCCACCGTATGTTCCACGTGTGTTTAAAACCTATGCATATTCTGAAGCTGTTGGGTGGAATGTTCTATAAATGTTAGGTCAGTTTTGTTCATAGTGTTGTTCTTCTTTTCTTTGTCTTTTCCTCTAGGTGTTCTGTCAGTTATTGAGGGTAGGATATTGAAATCTATAGATATAATTGTTAAATTGTCTATCTTGCCTTTCAATTATGTCAGTTTTGTTTTGTATGTTTTGGGGGTCTGTTGTTAAATATATACTCATTGAAAGTGCTTGTATTTGTATTTCTATTGATCATAAAATGTTTTTCTTTATCCCTTTTATTTCTTTTCTTAAATAAATAATAAAGATAAATAAAAAATAAAGATAAAATAAGATATTTCTTTTCTTAAAGTCTGTTTTGGCTGATATTATTATAGTCATGACACTTCTTGTACTGTTTGTGTATCTTTTTCCAGTATTTTACTTACAAGCTATTTAGGTCTTTGAATCTAAAACATGTCCCTGGGAGACAGTATATNCCCTGGGAGACAGTATATAGTTGGATCTTGCCTTTTTAAAAAATTTTTATTTTATTTAAATTCAATTAGCCAACTATAGTACATCATTATGGATCTTGCTTTTTTATCCAGCCTGATCATCTCTGACTTTTGATTGGAGTGTTCCATTCATTGATCTTTAACTGAATTATTGATATTGTTGTATTGACAGGTACCGTTTTATTGTTTTTTCTGTCTGTGTTTTTGTTGTTGCCCCTCTGTTCCTCCTTAACCTTCCTTAGTGTACTGTTTTATTTCCTCTGTTGATTTTTTTTGAACTGTTTTCTTTTGGGGGGGGGTGATTGTTCTAAGAACAACATTCACCTTATTTTATCAAGTCTATTTCCTGAAGTTGGTTGTTGTTTTTTGTTTGTGTTGTTTTGTTTTGGTTTTTTGTAACTTTCCTGGACTTGATTTAAGAACTTGTGACTCTTGAATGTACAGCAGCTATCTCTACTCAATTTTTTTGTTTTATAATTTAGCCTCTCTTTTTAGGGGGTCACTCTAGTAACTGCTTAACTTAGTGCTGTCGGTGGTTTGTCAGAGGTAACCAAACATCATTAATCATCTTGTCTATGGATCTATGTGTTACTTTGGCAGGGTGGGGGAGACATTCAAAGGGTAGGCAATTTTCAAGTCAGATCTAGGTTTTCCTTTCCATGGGGACATCCCTTCCCCCTTGGGTCTTTTCTGCAGATGCACAGCCTGATATCTGCTCCAAAGAGGGCTGTAATCTCAGGCCACCAGAATTGTGGGCATTCTCCATTTTTCTTATAGAGTGTGCTAACTTTATTGACAATGCCCTCAGGAGTAAGATATTTACTCTCTGCAACCCCACCTGAAAGCAGGTTTTCAGGGTCTATCACTATGTCAGGGCCCCTGTGATGGGGGCACTGCAGGAGAGCCACTGTGGAAGCACCACATTGATAGGGCCACTGTGCAGGGCAAGCTGAGAAGGGTTGGGGTACGAGGAGGCATGGGGAAGGTGGGAGAAGCTCTTCTGAGAATGCTATAGACTCCCACCTTTCTTACCTGAAATTTCAGCAGTTTTTCATGAATAAACACTTCTCGGTTTTTTTGTTTGACTTTAGTAGATTTCCAGAGCCCTGAAGTTGATATTTTTGACAATTTTGCCCAGGTTACAGTTGTCTTTTTTTTTGTTTTTTTTTTTTTTAGGAAGAGGATTTACTGATCCCTTTTCTCTGCCACAGCCAAAAGAGGCTTCTATGCCACTAAAATTTTAGGGCTTTTTAGGAGGTGTTAGAGCTTCATTGTCTTAG